CCACTCAGCCCCGGAGAACAGCCCCTAGAAACTGATTGGTAGATAAAGGTGGTACTGGGGCTGACTCCCTGGGTCTTTGCCCCTGGAATCCAGCGCTCATGGTCAACCCTGTTCACAAATGCCAAGAATGACATAAAGCCCAATGTCCAGAAACAGCGAGAAGAAAAGTCATTTGTGGGCGCAGGTGGGTGCCCAGCAGTGTGAATACTGGCGTGTCTGCTCTCCCACCCACCGTGGGAGGGGCGGGGTCTCAGAGAAGCTGTCATGGTGATGGGGCAGCCTCCTCCCAGGCCTCTATGGGATGCCCAGGTTCTCTTTCTTCTCCTGAGTTGTGCTCCTACCTGGATGGTGCCCTGAGCCAAGGCCGGCTTGAAGTCTCTGCGCAGAACTTGGACTTTTTTAAAGAAGTTGGAGAGTCTCTGGGAAGAGAGGAGAAGGGGCGGGTCAGAGAGCCTCGCGTATGCGTGTTGGGGTGGGGGTGGGGGGGAGCTTGGGGAAATTGGGGGAATGAGGCGGGCGGCACAGAGGGATTCCTGCCTCCTGGCCCCTGCTGGGGCCACCCACCTGGCTCTTGATTCCAGGGGGTTCGGTCCAGGCAGGGAAGGACATCTCTGCAGGCGATAGAACAGCCATTTATTAGGCGTGAGAGTGTCTGTGCGTGTGTTGGGATGGCGGCTGGGGTCAGGTCAGACCAGGTACCTTGACAGGTGGTGTTCGTTTGCTTATCCTGGAATCCGGGTTTGAGCTCCCAGCCACGGCGGCAGCGGCACCTGTATGAGCCCACGGTGTTGACGCAGACTGTGGAGTTGTGGCACACAGGCGGCCGGGAGCTGCACTCGTCCACATCTGGGGACACAAAGACGGGACTCGGGCCCTTCTCCTTCTGTGTCCCGCCCCCTTTCCCCATATTAGTACCTCCCACCTTGGCTGGAGGTGACGTCCCCTGCCGACCCCACATCCTGGTGATGCAGGAGTTCTGGAAAGTGTGGGGAGGCCTGACACATAGCACGTGAGCCCTGTACAGATGTGCAAGTTGTGAACTATTGAAACACCTTTGTCCCAGTTGGTAATTAGCTGCCGCCTGGGGTCTCCAAGGAGCCTGCTCCTCAGTACCCCGGCTCCTTCCCCAGGATCCCCGCCCCCCCCCCAGATCTTTTCCCATCGAGCCTCAAGAGAATTAATGCTTGGCACAGCAGGGCACCGCCAGCATTCATCCTGCTTGGGTGGTGTGGGTGCCACTGAATACGCATGCAATCAGCTGTTCTGAGTGTGGGTCTCCAGGATGTGGCATCTGAGCTCTGGACCTTCACAGACGGTGTTGTTTGGGCCATTGGGGGACCCAGGAATGGGCTTCCAGCCAGGGAGGCAGCGGCACTCATAGCTCCCAATGTTGTTGAGGCAGTGGGTGGTGTTGTGGCACGGGTTTTGCCCCGAGGTACATTCATTCACATCTGAGGACAAAGCCAGAGGGTCAGGGTCCCCTCCGCTGGCTGCACCCACCTCTCACTGCCCGGCATCAGGGACCCTGCTGTTATTGCACGTGCTGCCCCCTGGTGACCTTCAACCTCAATCTCAGTGCACCTTATGATGGCCTCCCTGCAAGATGGGCGTGGCAGGGACCATGGTCCCCGGTTTACAGGCTGTGAAACCAGGGGGGAAACTGAGTCATGGGGACCGGACTTTCTTTCCAAGGACTCTCAGCTACTCCCTCCCCAGCTCTGGCCCAGGCCCCCTTTCCAGGAACTGGAAGCGACACCCTCCCCCTGCTCCCAAGAGGCAGGTGAGGAAGGGGCGAGACCAGGGGATGCTCACAGAGGCGGGGGGCTCCACAAGGGAACCCCAGGCCCGGAAGGCCCTGCTACCTCCCCGCTCTGTGGTGGGCCTTCTGGGGAGGCAGATGATTGGGCCTGCTCCGTGGGCTGCGGGGTCCGCCTTGGCCCCGCCCCAGCTCCGGCGCAGCCTCACAGCCTCACAGCGTCTTCCGGGGCCTCTACCTGAGCACACGTTTGGGTCGCTCAGGTTGAGCTCCAAGCCGGGTGGGCACCTGCAGGTGTAGTTGCCCTGGGTGTTGATGCAGATGCTGCGGCCTTTACAGAGTCTGGGTTTCCGCTGACATCTGTCCACGTCTGCAGGGGGAAGGAGAGGGCATTGGAGGGCTGCCTGCAGCTGTTTCCTGGGATAGAAGCATCTGGAAGGCCCCGCCGTCTCCTCAGCGAGCGGGGGTGCCTTTTCTAATTCACATGGAGGCGTCCTAGGGGCAAAGCATGGTGGCCCAGATGTTTGTCCATATGTTGAAATTCTTGGGGAGAATCAGGCAGAGCCTTGCACGGGAAAACAGATGGAGGCTGAGCGGACAAGAACCCAAGCCAGGAAGCCAGAAGGTGTCTTCTCCGGGCAGGGCTGCTGGCCAGGGCCAGGGCCAGCTGGGGAAGATGGGCTCCTCCCTCCTCAAACCTCCCTCCCCCACGTTTCTCATGACCCGGGGGTCTGGGAGGGCTCCCAGTGTGGCCAAGCACATGTGGGCTCCAGGAGGGGAAGGACTCTTCACGGCAGCCTTTGATGACCGTGAAGAAGGTGGATATTGTGTTGGAACACACATGCTGTGAGCGTGTGATGTACCTTGAGCCCTGGAGTTTGGAAAGGCATAGGAGACCAGGTAGGACGTTCTGTGGAGAAAGTGAGACCAGTGACCCCAAACCTCGTAGATGGGGAGACGGAAGGTGCGGGGTGGTTCTTGCCTTGACACGTGTTCTCACTCTCACTCCGGAACGCTTTTGCCCCAGAAGCAAGCAGGTATCCGGAGCTGCATTTGCAGTAGAAGCTCCCCTCTGTGTTCTGGCAGTCTGCAAATTTTCCACAGGACACTGGCAAGGGTGGCCCACACTCATCGATGTCTGGAACACAAGAGAACGAACAAAGGGTCACCAGCCAAAAGAGTGAGTTCCCACAGGGCAGAGGCCGTGGCCTCCAGCCCTCCTCTGCCGTGGGGACCCAGAGAGAACTCAGTTCACAGTTCGGTGGACCGAGCTGGAGCCAGCCGCTCTAGAAAGCCTGCCGACTGATCTGCTCACCTCTGCTCTCCGGCCGGGCCTGACGGCACCTAGATCCATACACTCTGCTGTGTCGTGACGGGGGCTAGAAGGAGGTCTGCATCCCCCTCTGCGGGCCTCGTGGGCCAGATGGAGGCCCTGACTTGGGCTCCAGACCCTCCCTTCTGAGACCATTTGCACCATCGGGAAGCTGGGGGTGGGCTCCAGTCAGAGGGATGGTGGCACTGGAGGCCACTCTCAATGCGGACAGTGGGGGGAGTCGTGGCTGGGTGACACTCACCACTCACACCTGAGGCTAAAAGCCCCTGCCCGTTGACAGCTTTCACCTCCCATTACTCACAGTGGCCCAAGTACACCTCACAGGGCCCATCCCCCACTCCCCCGTCTCTGGTGTCAGGCGTGTTCAAGATGCCCCAGGGTGTCTCTGGAAGAGTCTTACTACCGCCAACCCTGGAGGAAGTGACTCTTATCAGAGCCTATCGCAGATACGAAATGAGGAAGCACC